GGTGGATCTGCCTTTATGCAGGATACAGGATCTATAAAGACACAGTTATCTCAAGGTCATTCAAGCCCTCAGTTAGACCCTTTCAGAAAAAGTCCAACCATGGAGCAAGCAGTACAGACTGCCTCAGCTCACTTACCTGCTCCAGCACCAGTTGGAGAAGGAGCCCTGTGCCAACCAGGCCTTTGCCATCTACCAGCCAAAAAGCAATAGAGAATCAAGAGCACAGGCGAGCTGAAGTACGTAAAGTTTCAAGGCCAGAAAATGAGCAACCCAGAAATGATAGTAAGAGACAAATAATTCCAGGTGCTCCTTCCACTCCAAGGAGAGGGCGTGGAGGACATCGAGGTGGCTGGGGAAGGTTTGGTATTTGGAGAGATGGTCCGATGAAATTTGAGAAAGACTTTGACTTCGAAAGTGCAAATGCACAATTTAACAAAGAGGAGATTGAGAGAGAATTTCATTGCAAACTTAAATTAAAAGAAGATAAACTTGAGAAACCTGTAAATGGTGAAGATAAGGGAGACTTTGGAGTTGATACCCAAAACAGTGAAGGAAATGCTGATGAAGAAGATCCTCTTGGCCTTAACTGCTACTATGACAAAACTAAATCCTTATTTGACAATATTTCCTGTGATGATAATAGGGAATGGAGACCAACCTGGGCTGAAGAAAGCCAATTAAATGCTGAAACTTTCAGGATTCCACTCCGTCCAAACCATGGTCGTGGAGGGTACAGAGGAGGCAGAGGCGGTCTTGGTTTCCGTGGTGGTCGAGGACGCCGAGAACATGGTAGTGGCAGAGGTGGTACCTTTATTACTCCTCAGGGATTTCGTGGTGGATTCAGAGGAGGTTGTGGTGGAAGAGAGTTTGCAGATTTTGAATATAAGAAAGACAACAAAGTTGTTGCATAGTCTTCAAACAAGTCTTTGAAAATGGGTGAATTTGTAGTTCTTTGTGGTCCTGAAAATTGGTTTCAGTCTTTGTGAAGAATGAAGAAGTGAATTTGCTGTGTATTTGTCACCAGCACTGGGTTTTACTTTTCCAACTAATTTCAAAGATACAACATAATTACTTTTGGGGGGAGGAAGGCTCATCTTTAGAAATGAGCATTAAATATATTTGGAATAGCAGAAGGTTAAGTAATTTCTTATGTATAGCTAAACTAAAGCAGTACTTAAGTGGGACTTACAAGTATTTTTTCATCACTGAGAGGATTTTTCTTATCACTAAATTGCATTTGGCAGTGATTGCAAGATAGGGCCATGATACTGTGTTCTGAGCCACAGAAAGGGGTGTGTGTGTGTGTGTGTGTGTGTGTGTGTGTATTTTTTTTTTTTTTGGAAATCCTATAATATGAGGTAGCTTATTTCATCAATTAATTAGGGTGCTGGATGGTAGAGAATTTTGTCAGTCAACTATGTACATACAGTAAATACTGTTTCTTAGGTAAAGGTAACTTTTTTATATAGTTGTGAAATTTCATTATATTCCATTGCCAAAGAAACATTAAGAACTTTGTATAGCTGTATAAAAAGCAACTAATTTTTAAAGAATAAATATTTTAAAGTCAGCAAAATATATATATATATATAATATCACTTAATTTTTTAAATGTACCTTTAGTTTAATTGCTTTCTGTGTCTTAATGTTTCTGTGATTTCCCTTGCATGCTCTCTGTATCTTTTTATTTTTTTTTTTTAAAGTTTTATTGATAAACAGATAGCAATGAGACAGTTTCAAATCAAATCAGAAGTACAGTTTCAACAAATAATACACTGCATATATTCTTCTTAGTGGTTAATTGCTGTACAAGAAGTGGACTTGTGATCCTATTTACAAACACCATT